CTCCAGAAACAAAAAACTGCCTTTGAGATTGCGGTCCAATGTGAAGCAATAAAAGCTGACTCGGATAATATGTCTGTGAAATACTTCTTGCAACGTAATGGTCAACTGTATTTTCAACCCTTGACACAAAGACAAGTGATGTTTTAAGTTGAAAATGAGTAGGTGTGTCAGTCTGTGGCATCGTAGCTCGCCAACGAATCGTTTTCGGTGCGTTTTTTTTAATTGTAAGTCTTGTATGTGGAGACGACTTTTAGTTATGTTTGAATCGGTTCGTCTGTTTAAAAGTTTTGGGGGTGGGGGCGAGCAACCCGAAGTAGGCGAATATGGCTAAGCGGGGTACCAGATAAAAAAGTTTGATTTGCAGGTGTTTTATTTAAATTTGGCCAAGTCGTTCAAAAGTAAAACACACTTTTTTCTATATGATTATTATCCCGACGCAAAAAAAAGTATCAATACGAGGTTCACAAGAAGATTGACAGTGAATTACTTGCTGGCGCATCAAAGCTGTAAGAAAACTGAGCTATTTATAATTGAGATATCATGCCTTCGATTTGCTTAAACAAAAAAATAGCATTTCATATATTTATTCGTAATAAATTTGTTGTTTTCCTTTTCCTACTGGTACTATTTGACAATGTTTCATAAGATGTAAATGTTAAAAATGCAGTAAAACGGTTTAAACGACATTGCCCCGTATGTTGCCTCAATACCTCTTCTATCTTCCAATTATTTGTCGTTTCTTAGTAATATTAGATACCATAAAAACTAAACAGGTGAAAGTGATTTTTCCAATCCGGATATGTGGAGCAAGCTTCAATTTCCATTAACAGCTAGCTATCCATAGGATCCATGAAATTATCTAAAATATGTTGACACGCATGTCCTTTTCTCTGTTTATTAGTAAACTTTGCCATGTTTTTCACTTCCTTACCGGTGTTAGGTTATACTGGATATGGAAACGTTTTCATAAGATGTGAATGTCAAAAATGCAGTAGTAATACGGTTTAACATCATTTACATACCATACATTTATGTATACCTCTGTTGACCAGCCACTCCTTTATGTTGTTTATATCACGCTGGGAGAGTAACGTGCACGCTGTAAGCTCCTTTTAAAAAGTTTCGTCACTACACCAGAAAATATATGATTTACTTTTTCATTTTCAACACCACTCAGAGGAAATAGTAGTTGGATCACGCATATGTCTTAAAGGAAGTGAAACTACTTTCGATATAGAACGAAAATTTTCAAATATTGTTGATATGGAGCATCACCATTGGAATCTCGTAAAAACGGTAAGAGATGTGAAGTCGGTTAAATGGGAGCAAAGCTGCTCATTTAGGTAACTAAGAAAATGGCACTTAGACAGTTTCGCAATTCCCAGTATTTCCGGAGATAGACGGAAGAAAGCGAACGTTCCCCAAATCATTTTTATTTTTTCATGGCTTTATTTAGGTTGGGATTTTAAAATAAAAGTACATTAGTGTTGGCACTTTTTCTCCTCTACATATATCTCCATTAAACAACGGTCATAGTAAAATATTGTATTGTCCTGGCTAGTCTATTGTAGACAATGCATTAAACATACTGTCCAATTTGAATCACATAACGTAAAAAGCACACATAAAGATTGTTACTGTATAAAAACTATTCGAAATAATAATCTCGTTGAGGAAGGGGTTGCCGGAAGTTTTAGGGGGTGTGTAGCGTGAGTGACCTTCATACGTTGAATATTGTTTATCAGTATTCGCAAAAAAATAAAGATTGGGATTAAAAAAACGATAGCTGCTTAAGAACGACAGAGCAATCTGCAGGGTTTGGCCGGAAATTAATGAGCCTAATTTTTTTCTGCCGCGACTGTACATAGCGGCCGGCCGCCTGGAAAAGTGTGGAGAAACATTCAGCCTTCCAGCGATGCTTTTGTCGTTTTCCAGTTGCCTCCGAGCTCTTGCAGGGTACAGATGTCGCTTTTTGTGGCACCTGTTTTGCGACCTAGTCGACGTTACGTTGGAAAAAACTTTGGAGCAAAGATACGCGCGAAACTGAACAAACCACCAATGGAGACATCGGATTTGCTTCGGGGATGCTCAATTTTACAAAGATGTGCTTCAAAAATCCCGTATCCTAAGAAAAATTTTGTCGTCATGGAAACTTCGCCACTACAACTCGCCGCTTACCTGACCCGGACAGGTGTCACAACAATGCCCAGCCGACCTAACCCATCCGTATTTTTTTGATTCCCGACTTAAAAGGGACCTCAAGCGACAGCATTTGGATACCCTACATAACATTCAAGCTACTTCGACGGCGTCTCTAAACAGCATCCCGGTCGAGGAGTTTCAGGGAGTGAACAAGGCTCATAAACCAGGCTGGCAGAAGTTTATATACGCAGAAGGGTGCTACTTCAAAGGATATGGAGCCTCTGTACTTTATCCGTCAATAAATTTTGTAAAAAAATAGGACTCATTACTTCCCTGTGAAACCCTATAAGGTATAACTGTTTCAAGATATTCACATTCACTGGAATGAAAACAAATATATTTAAAATTAAAGTCTTGACTTTTCCCTAATGTACATCTGGAATTCAACGCAAAGAGATGAAAAAACTTTTACAGCTGCTTCACCCATAATACCTTTCTTCGCTATTTTTCCAGCATAAAATTTCTCTTGCTTTCTTTCTATAAAATACTTTATAGCTAGTGATACATTGATCATCTAATAAAAAACCCAAATTATTGTTGTTTATTTTATGTGCCTATAACTTACAACTACTTGTTAATTAATGAGCGTGTCTTGGATGGAAAGGCATGTCTTTACTTGTAGGTTGGGAGGACGATTTTAAATGTGGCTCGTGACATACCAATTCGTGATTTAGCTTCTCTCACCGATCTGCGCATTCGATTGAGAAAGTATTGTACATTATTTGATCATCCTGCCGATTCGTATGGACTACTATTTCGCAATAAGTTCAATCATTTGGGTATCATTAATTAATCAATTTAATTATATTTACTTCAGTATTTTGTTGTAGATCTCAACACATATAACAGATGCAAGGGACTTCAATTTGGGCTTTCTGAGCCCTATTGCAAAGTAAAAAGCACTCGTTTTACCTTATTTGGCACAAAATATTAGCTTACAACTGTTCAGGATGTTTCTAAAATATGGGTAAACAATTCAGTCTGATTCATTAGGAACTATGTTGTCCTTACACGATTTCCGGGAATGCGCATCGCTTCGAACATATCGGGTGAGCACATAAAAGCGGTGAGAAAACAGTACAATTCGAAATAATACTTTTTATTAGCAAAAAACAGAAGTGACCAGAATATATGGAGATTGATGAAAATTGAACTTACTCTACATCCAAGATTTTTCACATTTTCCCCTATAGGAGTCTAAAGTAATTACTTAATTTGACCTCACTGGAATTAGCTTAGTGGGTTTATGTAAGTCTTAACTATCTCCGCATGATTCAAGTAGCACCCAGAACGGATATAATTCAATAAGTCTTTATTCTCACTGGAGGTGTCCAGCTACTGTGAGCATTTTTTGGTAACCTTGAGTAAGCTTCGCTGAGATTGTTGACAATAAATTACAAATAATCAAAAACAGAATCTCTTGAAATTTCGCTCCATACTTTGGAAGCATCCTGAATATTCTGTTTGATCCGTGTTTTTTACATGCAAAACTGTGTCTAACTGTGTTTTTGAGAATAGGTAACTTTTTTGCAACTTGTGCATGTGCGAATCAATGGCGTCCAGTAGGTTAACTTTGCAATTCCCACGCAACGTTGTGATCAGTTCAAAAAGGATTATGTTCGGTATAAGTTAGCTCCTATGAGAAAAAAAATATGAACGTGTACAAAAAATAAATTAAATGCATTTAGTCAGTCAAACAGGCCCATACAATTTAGTCCCTCCCACACCCTTACCCACGAAGTTTTAAGGAAGAATGTACGGAGAAATTTATGATGTGTGAATGATGTCTAACAGGTGCGTAGTACCAGGGTTGGAAGCTCATAAATATATTAACGCCAAAACATATTGTCCACCCACCCCTACAACCCCCAACCCCTAATTTTCAATCCCTACAACTTTTTTCTGAAAAAGATCGGGAGCATTTGCAACTGGAAAAAACGGAGTTTGAGCGGTTTTATTTTTTTTTGGTTCTTTGACTGTAGCTCAGTTGCCACTGACCGACCGACAGATGGCCTGACAGACTGACGGAAATGAGTGATATGGTTTTTCAAAAATCATATTATCTCAATGTAAAGTAGTGGGCAAACAGCGCTGTCCGAGATTTGTCATGGTTAGAGGAATCGGAAAGCAAACATGCTCATTTCATACTATCTCAATTGTCGAAAATTTTCGCGATTACAATACTTCCTCCCCAGTTGGCGTGTGTGTAATGTGAAAAAATATATTAATATGAAAAATGAAAACAAAGCAAAGATGCTGCAAAGTAAGAAGCTGTAAATGTATCAGCAAGTTTTAAATGTATCAGGATTATATTTGAGTGTGTATTCATGTATTTAATTCAATAATAGCGTAAATCTGATTGTGACCGCTTCGTGTTTATTGTTTACCGTAACAACCGTAACAACAATACCTCCTGTTTACTGTAAGATTCTTCCTCTTGTAGTAATGCATGCGCATAACAATCTCTCATTATGCTCTTAAGTGCACTTAGTATTGAATAATACAATAATCCTTGAATAGACTTTGAACAAGATTGCAAATCCATATTGAGTCATGTATTCATTATTGTAGTAAATGAAGGACCTAAAACTATGTTAGACTATTGTCTGGCTTTGTCAGTGCGAAGAAAATATACTTTTCTATAATTTTAAAATGCCAGATCTCCAACAACCGAAAATAAATCCTTTAAATCGAGTCAGAAAAAGTATTTTTCATCATATATGGTATCTTAATTTCTTTCTTAGACATAGCAAGCACCTATTGGAACTGTCATATTGATAGATTTTCATATGTTTCAGATCTCGCAGAAAATACACGCCATTGAATTGTAAGTACTTAAGTTTTCCAAAATTCTTTAACTGTTGGCTCATATAATTATTACCTATTAATTTTCTATTTCACAAGCTTTTTAATGTATCGGAACGATTTCCAAATTTATATTTCTTATGCGAAAAAAAGTTATTTGAAATAACTGAATGGATGTGAACCTGTTGAGTGAAATGGTCCGAATAGCGGTAGGTATGTATTTGAAAAATGTATTCGAATTGCACATGAACATAAATTTTACCCTATTTTTTACGTATTCTATCGTTCAAAAATGTTGGAAAATTTTGTATATTAGACATGCCGGAACTTACTCCAAAGTAGTTACTTCGAATAAGATATGTCACAAGCACACTTAAAAAAAAATGGCGTCAAGTAGGCTGATTCTACACTTCCCACGCAACGCCGTCATCAGTTCATAAAGTATTGTGTTCAGCACAAGTTAGACCCTCTGAGAAAAAGTTAGATACAAACATGTTTAGCAGAGAAATTAAACGGATCTAGTTAAGTCAAACAATGGCCTCACAAGACCAGAACACTTACCAAGACCGGTACGCTCGACGGTCGTCTCAGACAGCAGAAACAGTAATGACAGACAGGCAGACCGACGGGAAAAGTGACATGGTTTCTCATGATGTACGTGTCATATAACATCCAAAAAATATGTTATTTTCGAAAATTTACAATGACAATACTTCCTCGCCAGAAGGCGTGGAAAGTAGAAATTGCATATCTTTTGAGTGTCTGTCTTAAGGCCTTTGAAAAACATTATGGTGCTTTTATTGTAAAAGGTATGTAACGATCATTCAATCTGACTAGTGTTCGTCAGAAATCCGTTGTTAGAAAACGAAAGGGAATTGAAGTTAAATATCGATTCTCTGTAGGTACATTATATTCTTATCTTAAGAAATGTGATCTTCATGATCATAGTGAGAACGCAAGCTGTCTAAAAAACCAGAGCAGCCTTGATACCATGCGGTAATTGCAAAGAACAACCTCTCACAAAGCAACCTATGATATAAATTCTTGTATTAGACGAGTAATAAAATGGATTTACCACAAATTGTTGAAATATATACTCTACATATAGCTATAGCTTGCAAATGGCTCCATTTTCATGTATGTATACATTCAGACAGACCTAAATGTGAAAGTGTTCGAAGATATCGCTTTCAATTTTTAATACGTTCGTGTATAGATTCTTTAGCCGGCTCTCAACTGCTCGACCAGATTAGCCTACAAGAACGTGCATTCCGAGATTCGTGACGAAGACGTACACTACGACTCAAAAATATAAGTTCAGCAAAGATCGTTTTTGACAAAGTATCTGCAAATTAGAGATACTCTTTCATTTTAAATGATCTCATATAGTCCAGAGTGTAGACTACCTATGTGACAAAATTAAAGCAAAACAATGTTTTGTTAACATTACCAAAGTAAGATCAAACAGTTGTTATCATTGCATCAGCTTGGGTCGTTGACCTCAAAGATTTTGGCATTACAGGAATGACGCCATTGATTCGTGGATTAAAGTAGATTAGACTGTCAATAAGTTAATCAATGGTACCTTTTAAGTCCCTTTTGTTGACTAAAATTTATATTATCGTTTAACATCCTACATGTAATGCTTTCATTTTGAAAACTACCTGTTTAATCCAGTACAAAGATTTATTTTCCATAAAAAACATTCTGCTGCAGCGGAACTTTCATTACAGACCCGTAACTTTGTGTACCTCACCGCGTGCAGAAATAGCTAATCAATTTAGAATAAAGAGCTTTTTACTACTCAATAAACACCTTTTATCCTAGACACTCTTTCTCGCCACAGGCCAAGAATAAATAAAGATATAAATAAAGATATTGCTGTAATCAAAGCTCACTTCTACAACCAATACTATTCAGTATTATCATTGATTAACGTATTCCACCTGAAAATAGCTAAACATAGACTGTATTCCGGCGCCCTTAGATAACGCTAACAACTATCTCTTTTTGACGCCTTTCTAATGCCTATTTTAATTAGGTATCTTAAGGCAATAGTTAACGTATTCCACCGGAGCATACCAATTTAGATTAGGTATTAACACCATCTATAAAACAGAAGCAGGACCAGCACTTGTGCAATGGCATTCGAATCACTCAAATACCATTTTGGGCGCCGAAATATAGCGTAGGTGGGCTTGAGGTGGAATACGTTAATCAATGACCTTTGCCCTAAATTCAGAGTGACACATTTTTCTTTACGCCACTATTATTGTTTACCAAGGATTGTTAGTAGATTTTTCCTCATCGAAGCATGGAGCTTCTTTTACTGTAAACCATTGAAGAGCAAAAAATTGCGTCAAATAGGTTGACCCTGTACTACCTGCGCAACGCCGTCATCTGTCCATAAAATATCAAGTTTAGCGAAAGTTAGACCCTCTGAGAGAAAATTAGTTATGAACAAGTCAGTAAAACATACAATTAGTCCATAGATATTCTTTCCCTGCCTTACCGGTAGTTACCGTCCATCTCGTAACGTTGCAGTTATGAGACTCGACGGCGCCCACCGAAACAGCGCCGCAGTAAGAGCAGAGCAATCAAGCAGATTGTTACGCCGGGCGCTGAGCCCAGATTGCAGAAGGAGACGCGTATCGAAAACATTTCTGTATCATTCTGTTTGAAAGACAAAAATGTACGGGGACATAATGGGTGAAATATAGCTAATAGGTGTGTAGTATTACCGGAGGTGGGAGCATCAAAAAATTAAGATATACCCTCCTCCGCCTTCCTACAACCCCCAACCCCTTATTTTTTACGCCTATTTTTTTTTGTTCAGGTTCCTCTGAAACGTTTTTGGCCTTTTTCTCCTCCGCTACTGAATCGATTCAAAAACTACAAAGCTTTTTCGTCCGTGGTATAGAAACCTTGTGTAAAAATTTCATTCAAATCTGAACAGTGCCTTCCAAGTTATAGAAGCGAGTGACATGGTTCTTCGTGATGTACATGTCACATAATATACAAAAAATATATCTCATTTTCGATATTTTTGCGATTATAATACTTCCTCGCCCAGCGTAGGACGTAAAGAACCATATAATCCAATTTTATAACAAATTTTTCACGCGAGAACGTCCTGAAGGCAAAAATGTACATATAATGCTGTGGGTTTTCTTTTTCTTTGGAGGTAGTGTGTTACCTAATTTAAGCTGATTATAATAATTAATATAAAATACCTCCGCTGTGCTTCAAATGAGTGGACAGGATAAAATTGTGACCGATGATAGAAACACAATAAATCAAGGTATTAACCTGGACCAACAATAACCCGATGGACACAAGATGAAATATTACATTTTCCGCTTCACGCACACCATACCATTAATATTTCCCGGCTATATTCGGGCGACATTTCAAAAATCCCCGATTCCATTCACGTAAATCAGCAAGTAAATTATTCATAACCTCACAACGAACTCAATTTATGGGCCGTTCATCTCCTTCATTTCTTCTCATTTTTTACCGGCGTCTTTAAATGTTAGATCGCTCAAAATGTCATTTAAAATAACACTTTGAGGGTCATTGACGCGAATTTAGTTTTTGTTTTTTTTATATTTTCTGCATTTGGACAATACAGTGTGTCCCAGATTCGCTTCTCCCGGCTCCTGTTATACCTATAGCAAAGGTTAAATGGGGAAAGTTTTAGAGGAAACTTAGTGCATTATATAGCCGGCTTCAGAATTACGATCGGTCAATTGATTTTGGAAATATTGGCGAAAAACGGAAAATGTCGAATTTTATTTTTTGCCAGTAAATCCGAAACAGTCAATTTGACATCTGTCAAAATGTGACATTATTCGGGCATCTTATTCTAAGGCAAATAAGATAGCGTGGATAACATGTCTCAATCGTCTTTTGTTTTCCCGCAACCTGCCTCAACATTCATTTTTCTTACAGGCGCCATATTGGATTTTTCGATTTTTGAAAAAAGCGTAAAATTTCCAGCCTAGTGATGTCTCACAAGTGCATACAAGATTGGAGTATGATCGAATTATCATCACACGCAGTGTTGTTATGTATCAATTTTCTTCTAAGGAGGCTATGATTTATTTCTCAGAAAATAAAATTAATAAGTAACGCATTTTTTTCATCTAAGGTAGCTCTGACTGTGACGTTAAATAATTTAAAGTATTAAAATTGTGTTTTAATAAGTAGTAGGTACGTTTTCTCTCTTTAAAATCATAAATCTTATAAAAAAATTGTTAAAACCCGTTGAAAATGGCCGGTATTTCCCTACTCAAATGAAGAAAAGTTTGACATGTTAGCGCTGTTTTTGCAGTCACACAGAAACGCCGACATTACCTCAGCAAGGTACTTGAAGATGTACCGAACGACGGCAGCCTCATAAAACCCAATTTAGAAAAATAGTAGTTAATTCTTCCTTCGAATAACCTAGAAGCGGATACAATGATGAAAATCGCGACAGAAACATTTTACAAGCTGTCAACGAAATCCCTAGGCCTTCAGTAAGAACTATAGAATGAGAAATTGGTGTGTCAAAATCAACAGTACAGTTATTGTTAAATAAGAATAGGTAAGTACCATCCATACAAACCTACAATACTTTAAGGACTTAAGGAAACTGATTTTCCAAGGCGAATGAGTGTGAGGAAGTCTAGTGAAAAACCCGATTTTGTAGATCATGTGAATCATGTCTTGTGGTCCGATGAGTTTTTAAGAAGCATCATTGGGCTGTGGAAAACCCTCACAAAGTAGCAGAGACGTCTACAGAAAAGATATGGAGCATTGGGCACCTATTTGAAATTAGGTATTAATCATTTTAGGAAATCGACTTAAACTACCAGTTTTTTACTGCAACCGAAACGGACAGAGGTACCTAGAGCTCTTGCGAAACCAGGTTGTGCCGGCTTTACGAGCTAGTCTAACCGAAGATGAGTTTAGAAGAACCTGGCTTCCACAGGATGGTTGTCCGGCTCCCACCATTCAAGTTATGAAATTCTTAAG